CGTTACATGCGCGCGAACTTGATGTATAATTTGCAAAATTTTGTGTTACTCACTCATTTATTGGAGGGCACTGTATGACAATCCATTGGAAAGACCTCTAAAACAAATTTGCCTCGTTGATAAAAATATTACGCCCGACCCAAATTGGATAACAGTTATTTGTGGAAATCAAAAAAAACTTATTAAAAGCCTTTGCATTGTGTTGGAAATATTTAGCTCCCGATATACAGATAGGTTTTAATGATTCGCAATATGATTGGCCCTTTATCATAGAAAAAGCCAAGAGTTTAGGAATTCTTGAATGGATGTTTAATCATATGGCACCTAAATCGTCAAAATTAGAGCACATTATCCAATGGAACTATCGAAAAAGTGAAATTAAAATCACAGCGGCGGAAAATTTTTATTCGACGTACCTCAAAATTCCTGGATGTATATTTCTTGATGTCCGCGTTTGCTTCAAAAAGTTGTATCCAAGATCTGAGGTTCAAAAGGCAAGTTCGCTAAAGTTTTACTTAGAACGGTGTGGATTAGATGGTAAAATAGATATGCCTATAAGTCGCATGAATAGAGCTTATAAAACTGCAAATATGGAGGAGATGCGTGAGGTGGCGAATTACTGCGTTATAGATGCATTACGGTGCCAGGAGCTTATGACTAAGCGCAATGTAATCAATGATCATAGGGAAGTGTCATCCATTGCGTATGTTTCACTTTCCGATGCCCATTATTTTGCGGGGGGGGATAAAGGTGTGTAATCTTTTAGGTGCTGAAGCCTGGGAGAGGGGTATATTATGTAGTATGATTCGCCGAAAAAACGCAGAAACCGGTAAGTACCCAGGGGCTCATGTATTTTCACCAATAAAGGGACTCGAAAATAAACGTCCGGTAACTGGTTTGGATTTTGCATCATTATACCCGAGCCTCATTATGACTTATAATCTCTCACCCGATAAAATTACATTATCTCCGGAGGAAGCTATGGATATACATCGTAGTGGAAAGAAACTCCATCAAATTGAGTTTCCATTTAATAATCGTACCCTATATGCCTGGTCTGTTCGACATAATAATATTCCCGAAGAAAAGGGCCTCTATGTTAGTGTGTTGGAAAATTTACTTAATAAACGAAATGATATGAAAAAACGTCTCCATGAATTAGGTAAGAAGAAAGAAGAGCTTAGAAATATGGGCGCTTTACGCAATGAATCGGAATATGCTTCCGTATGCTTTAATTATACTTGTATTGATTCTAAACAAAATGCGCTCAAGGTTTACATGAATACGTTTTATGGTGAGGCAGGTAATAGTCTTTCTCCGTTCTTTCTACGTGAGTTGGCGGGTGTTACTTCCGCTGGACAGTGTAATATTAAATTTGTTGCCGATTTTGTGAAAACTAAAGGCTTCAGAATAAAATATGGAGATACGGACTCCTTATATCTCACATGTCCAGAAGAGTGTTTCCAGGAATGTGATCGAAAATATAAATTAGATCAACTCTCACAAGAAGAGTACTGGGAGGAAATGGTAAAAATATCTATCGAAGTGATGGCAAACCTCCGTAATGAAGTAAATACTGAGCTTGAAAAAGATAATGGAACGCCTTACCTTAATATGGCATATGAGGAGGTCTTATTTCCCGTGGTATTTACAGGGAAAAAAAAATACTATGGTCTGGAGCATAAAAATAAGCTAAACTTTAATCCGGGTAAGCTTTTCATTAGAGGGATTGATATTATAAAACAGGGACGATCGGAGCTTTTCCGTAAAACGGGTGAGCGTATCATGGAGGAATCTATGAAAGTTGATAATACGCGCACGCTGCATCAGATTGTTGAAGACGTTCTTCGTAAAATTATACTGAACGTGGATCAGTTGGACGTTAACGACTTGATCCAAACTTATGCATGGAAACCGAAAAAAGATGGCAAGAGGGGTAATATCCCTGTAGAGCGTTTTATTTCACGAATGAAAGCCAAACATACCCGTGAAATACTGGAATCTCAACAACTTATAAAGGAAGGACTAACCCCTAAACCATATTGCTATGAAATTCCAGAACCAGGTGAGCGCTTTGAATATATTGTAGTAGAGGGTGAAAATTATTATGATAATAACAATCGAAAGATACCGTGGAAGAAAGGTAACTACATGGAATTCCCAGACGTAGCAAAGAAGCTTAACAAGAAAATCGATATAAGTTATTATCTGAAGAGCGTAGTTGGTCTCTGTGCCCGTTTTATAAATAATAGTAAATGTTTTGAACCACAACCTGATTCCGAATCCTTGAAAAATATTACAGATCCAGATGAACTCTGGACGGCAAAGGACGGTATAGCGCAAGAATCCGCTGAACGATGGCTCAAAAAATATATCAAAGATTTACGCGATGCTCCAAAGAAGGAAGAAGCTATTCTATCTCATCTATGGGAAGAGGTTAATACTTATGCGGAAAAAACATGTTCCAGTAATGACGTAAATAGAACTATGAAAGCAAGAGTATGTTTGAACTATAGTTATCATATTGAATCGGGAGCTCGAGACTTTACCTCTGCTTACCTCAATGCATTAAGTGGAATCGAAAGTTCTATTCGTTTAAATTTATCGGATCTTTTTACAAAAATCTCTAACTTCAATGAAGAATATAGAAATGATTTGTATAAATTGGTTATACAGTCTCATAAGCACAAGTCCGATATTTCAATTTTGGAAAAATACATATTATCAAATCCGTGCCGAATCTCAGACTCACTTAATTGTGAATTGATGAAAGAATTTCGCAATGAATGGTGTAGAGGAATTGCTCTTGTGACTGTACGACGTCGAGCATTATCACACTTAACCACACAGAACACTGAAGCAGATCTTGATGAGATTATTGATTTATATTACTAGCGCACACCAAGCTATGAAATAATAACTGAGGAATCTACCTTAAATTATTAAAATTTACAGTGAACTCTCCCTAAATGCACACCCTTGGGACCGAAAGTGTGAAAGTGTGCATTTAGGGAATAATGCAAAAA